GAAGTAGAGGCGCTAGGGGAAGTAGCTTTTTTCGTAACACACTCAAGCAGCAGCCATCTTTTGATAGTGTTATAGATAGATTTTCAGTTTGAGTAAAAAACTATGCGCATTTATAATTAACATTGATATATGTGTGTGCGAAAATATGTGCGTGTTTTGATCTTTGATTGGTTACGAGCTCGGCTTAGAACTCCTCGTCTTATCTGCTGCTAGCGCTGGCAGGGATATAAGTTGGATGACCTTGATTTCGAGTTGCTGTTTTTAATGAAGGGGCATATATGAGGGTTTTTCTAAAACAAAACTTTACAAAATTTATGGCTAGCAAATTTTGCGGTAAAATTTCACGAACAAATTCGTTTTCTTTTAGTATGATGCTGCAGTGCGGAGTGTTTTACGAAACGGTGCTGTAGAAAGCAGTGAAGAAACATCGCCAATGCGAAACATTGAAAGCGATGAACAGCCACTTAGCAACGAAAGTGTTCTGAAAAACGCTCTACAAATAGTGTTTGACGTTCACGTTGCCTTTACTATCTTGAACGACTGCAATGTAGAAGAGGTAATGTTTTTATGGCTGTAAATTTTCAAAGGGGAGCAAGGCATTGTTGGGATCCAGCTGAGCAAGGCTTAACAAATTCTAGAACGGCACGCAGGAGCAGCAAGCACAGTTTGTTGGAATTATTGGTACTAAGTTATCGGCTCAGCTGGATATGGTCTAGACAGTAAAGACTAGCCACTGAACTGATCATGTATATAAGGCAGTGTGGGATTAGCGATAACCGTTTTTCTGCGTTTTTTGCAGCTATGCAATGCAAAAACATATTGTCGAGGGGTTGTTTATGTGTGTGTGTGTGTGTGTGTGTGTGTGTGTGTGTGTGAGTGTGTGTGTGTGTGTCTGTTTGTCTGTATGTTTGCTTATACCGATTTTTCATCTCAACATCTACAGAGACTACAGGGCTGTAACTTTGGGAGCTTAATCTACATGCATGTACGGGCCCTCATCCTCGAAATGGACGGTATTACCCACGTGGTACCGACGCACGGGCCCATGGAAGTTTTTGGCAGGTAAGCTGCTATCTTAGGGACTTGAAAAGCTGGAAGACTGTAATTTTAAAGGGGCGTTTCCTGGCAGTCCTGACGGCCATTCTCATTTCGTTTAGCTGGTGGCATCTGCCAAAAAAACCGGTATCGTTAGCGACAAAAACCTGTGGGAAACTGTGCAAAAAACGCATCTTCGCAGCGACAGTTGGTGCGTTGGCCACTTATTTCTCTTTTTGACTAGATTCATGCTGATTTCTCCGATAAAAATTTAGGTATTACTGCAACCTGGTTACTTTCTCGTTATTCTTGCCGTTGCAGTGTGAAGTGCGCATAAGCACTGTGATAAAAATGGGAGGA